TTTTGCCCCCCCCCCCCCCCTCGCCACCTGAGCGGCCGGCTGCGCGAGTGTGTGCGTGTGTGGCGTGTGCTGCTTTGTGCTGGCGGTGCGCTCTTGTCACACATGCTTGTGTCGCAGGGGATCTACATTGCGCAAGAGCTGTGGAAGCCTGTCGTACGCGAGCACTTCAAGGCGAAGGTTCGTCAGTTCAAGAACGAGGGGGGTGCGACGGCGCACGCCCACCTCGAGGCGCTCTTCGGAGAGAGCACCTTCGGCGCACGCGAAGCTGGCGGGTACGACCGTGGCGTGCACAACGTCGGCGGCAGCCTCAACACCCCGAGCACGCGTGGGCGTCAGGTCAGCTCCTTCCACCGGCGCTCACGCGCCAGAGACAGCCACCGTGCGTCCTATGTGTCGGTGTCGGCGTCCGCTCGAGGCTCGGCGGCCTCCATCTCTCAAGCGGACGCCATTCCAGGGGCGCGTCCGGCCGTCCGGGCATCCGAGTGTTCGTGCGCGCAGGAGCCGACCATCGCAACCATCCATGAGGGCTCGGCGGAGAATGCTGAGCCCTCCAGCCTCGAGCTTCAGATCGCGGAGACTCCCTCCAAGCCCTGACGATGCGTCGTGTGCCTCTATAGCGTGCCTCGCGCCCGCTGCTCGGGGCCCGCGCGTCGTCCAGGCAAGACGAGATACTCACAGGGTCTGGATGAGGACCCGAGCCGAGTGTGTGCTCTGGCCTTGGTCGGCTGGCTTTGGCGCGGAGGATGTACGGCTGCGCTTGTTCTTTCTTCGGAAGAGGACGCTGCGCCGCGCGTAACCTCTAGTAGCGGCGAGATAAAGTGCTTGCTTTTCTATTACCGCCAGGTTGGGGGGTCCTCGGCCATGACCCCCCCCCCCCCCCCCAGCATGTGGTGAAGGTGCTGGGGGGGGCGGGACCCCCCCCCCTAGCATGTGGTGAAGCCTCTGGGGGGGGGTCGGACCCCCCCCCTAGCATGTGGTGTGAGCAGAAGCGCGCCCCCCTCCCTGGAAGCGATGTGCGCCTGCTCTATCGCTCTCGGGCCCACAGACATCCCGCACACCCGCCGCCCCCGCGCGCGCCCCACCCCGGCCGGGAGAAAGGGGAGTGACAGTTTGGGACGGCAACAGAACGAGTACCTTGCACTCCATGTGCAAGAACGCAGAGAGAAATGAAAGCCGTCCGGCCCCCAAGTCCGGCTCACGCGCCCGGAGCTGACCCCCTACCGCACTGATCACTTCCGCCCCCTCGCTCCCAACCCATCTGCCTCGCCTCGCGCCGCGCGATCTCGGGCGATCTCGCGCTATCTCGGGCGATCTCGGGGCCGCGCCGCGCTATCTCGGGCGATCTCGTCCGGAGCGTCGCTCGCGCCGCAACACCCCAAAGCGAGCTCGGCCGACTCGAGGGCTGCGCTCGGCGCGCCGGCGCCCTCAGGGTGCGGGGTCGCGCAGCACGACAGCACGAGGGGCTCTCCGACCGACCGGGATCGGGGTACCGGGCCTGCGGCCGGCCGTCGCTACGAGAGGCTCAATTCACCCTTGGGGACCCGGTGTGTGTGGGGTGGGCAGCTGGACTCCCAGCGGATCTGACCTAAAGGCTAAAGCGGGTGGTGCCTTGTCGCTTTGTGTTCCGGCCTCTCCCACACCCGGCCACACGCACGCCTCCCGACTCGCGACTGCTTGCGGCACCGTCGCAGTCCGCACTTTTTTCCCCGATCAACCGGTCGGAGGCCGTCTGAGACCTCTCTCTCTGGACCGCACACAGCGGCCCTTGCGGCCTCTGCGCTGTCGAGATAGCAGCTTGGCAGGCCGACGAGACAGCGGCTGGTCAGGCACGCCTCGCCCGCTCGCAAGCCACCAGACCCATCCTGATTCCTGAACGGCTCTGCACATTGCCGCATCATGCCCCTATACCCCCAAAGAGCCGATGCTCGGTCGGAACTAACTAGCCGGGGCAGTCGGAGAAGGGGCAACTCCGTGCACTGACGGTCGGCCGCCAGAAAACACGCCTGCGTGGATCGCGTCAACCAAATCTCGCTACGATCCGGCCTTAATTCCTCGTGAACCTCGAGAGAAAAAAAGAGGGAAACCAATGCCGCTGCGGCCGCCCTCTGGACTGGTCGATCAGGTTTATCCGAGACACGGCACCAAGTGCAGACACCAAAAAGCAAGGCAACATGGTGCACACGGGCTGTAGCGAGCCAGCGCCGCTGCTCGGCCAGCGCGTCGTGCTCGGCGGCCTCTCTTCCCGTCCCGAGCTGAACGGGCAGCGGGGCGTGGCGCAGAGCTTCGAGGGCGGGCGGTACGCTGTGGCGCTCGAGAGCGGCGGCGAGAGCGTGCGGGTGCGGCCGGGTAATCTGTCGCCGGTGGCGGCGGGGCGGGCGCCGAGCGGTGCCGCGGCAGCCCCCGTTGAGGTCATCGCAGCGGCGGAGCGTGGCGAGGAGAAGGCGGTGCTGGCGTGGCTTGAGGGCGGCGGGCGGGTCGACGCGACGTACGAGAGAGACGGCATGAGCGGCATCACGCTGCTGATGGGCGCCGCCAACAACGGCCACGAGCGGGTGGTCGACTTGCTGATACGGCGCGGCGCGGAGGTCAACCTGCAGGATAGCGACGGCGTCGCCGCGCTGATCAACGCCGCCTTTCACGGTCACGATCTGGTTGCGTCGACTCTCTGAAAACGGTACGCCTCTAATATTGAACC